TCGCAGAAATTAACTTAAATATTAATAATTTATATAAATCTAACAGGGAGTCAGCAAGACTATTTAACTCGGGCCTCACATTTAAGAGGCATCAAAAACATTTACTGTATTACAAATGGTTCATTCCAGTGCATTTCTTGCGTGTTAAGAAAATTATTAATTTTTTTAATCCAATTTTTCTTTATTATACTAGGAAATCCTAAAAATCTAAGTAGCCCGGCTTCTCTTGATTTCTGAGAGGATCCGAAATCCACTTTTCCACTTTATTTTCTAAAATAATTTTTGTTTGATTTGTGCTAAATTAGCTAATTTTATCTCTCGAAAGAAGAAAAAAAAATTGTTTTTAATACGAATTTTAAATATTTATACAAAAAAGTATAAAAATGTGTACACGTCCTTTAATGCATTGTGCGATTCGTCAGCCTTTAGTAACGAAAAAGTAATAATAACCCACGTTTGTATTAATTTAAAATTAAATAGATAAATATAGAAAGTTTAATATATTTTATAAAGTTAATTTTATTTTTATAAAGTAATATAAAATTCCATAAGAAATAATGTAGTTTATATAATATTTTTAATGCGGTATAATTGTATAAAATAAAAATAAAAGAGAATGTCTATGTTTTTTTATTTTGTTTTCTTTCCTAGTTTTAGTTATTCACTTTAAAAAACCCATATTAATAATTATAAATCTCGGTTTAAATTACCTCTAAACAACGGCCACTGATGAGAACATTAAAAAATGGCTGTTGTTTGAAGGTTATTTTGTAAGATTATTTGTTTAAAATAATAATAAGTTCCTAAAAAAATGACCGCTGTTTGGAGGTTTGTCTGTTTATCAGTGATTCGTAAAATAATGAATTAACTAAAAGGAGTATACTTTTTTTTAAAAGAATTTAAATTAAACAGAAAGAGACTAATTTTCTTTTTATTATTTTGCCGAGTAAATGTACTATAACTTCTTTCATATAAAAGAGATTACATTATGTTTTTGTTGGAATAAATATATTTTTTGTTGAAGAGAAACTTCAATTACAAAAACGATTTAACGTCATAATAGAGCGAGAATAATGTACAAATATTTTATTTTTAGAAAAACGATTTTTAACTTGCATGTCCTCTCTATTAGTTTTTCTATAAGCTGTTAAAACAATACAGAAATCCATTTTGAAAGTAGAAATAAATTTAATTGTTAACAAAAATAATCAACAAAACCTTGCTGAAGATGAAATAGGGAAGTAAAAGCAATTTCCGCCTTAACTGAAGCTAAAATAAATATAAAAGTTATATAAAAACTTTAAATTGTAAAGAAATGTAGCACGTTCGATCCAGATAATATATTCTAGAAAATGTAGCATCTTCTATAGCAGTGTTTCTCAAAGTTTTTGGTCCGCGACCCCTCTTTTGCACTTAAAAATTTCAAAGGATCCCCTGAAGAATGGGTATGTGTAGAAAAACATCCCGAAGGGGGATTAATTTAAATTCACAAGGAGTTCATTTCTTTGTGTTTAATTGCATTGAAACACTCATAATTTTAATAGAAGATTTATTTTTAGTATCATTAAAAATTAAAAATTAACTTATCTTTGAACAAAATATTCTATGTATATGTTTCGACATTAGTAAACTCAATTAGTTAAGTTAAACATATTTTAAATTAAATTTAATGTGATGGGTGAGTCTGCTTATTTTGGCATAATAAATTAAACCTGGGTTTAATATCAGTCAGTGCAGGTCTCATAGTGACAAGAGCGCTGCTTTGTTTTGATGTTGGTCATTACTGAAAATGCCATTTCGCATAAATAAGTGGTTGCAAATGGTAAGAGAACTGCCATTGCTAATTCAGAGAGTAGTGAATACTCTGCTTTCACACTAAGCCAAAAAGAATCTACTATTTCTAAACATGAATCCATAGTAAATTTATAAAATATTTGAAAAAAATTGATCTGTCATAAATTTTTCTGCGACCCCACAAATATTTTTCACGACCCCCACTTTGAGAATCATTAGTTCTTTATAAACTATAGAATTAGTTTAGTAAAGAATTAGATTCTAAGACCTTTATAAACTAATTCTATAGTTAATAAAGGTCCATCAGTGGCCGAGTGCATAATTAATCGCGGGTTTGTGCCTCGCCAACGGGCTGGTCACGTAGAGTTTTTCTGGTTTTCTTCATTTGCCTAACATCTAAATAGAGACCAATGTCCCACAGAAAGCCTTCTATGGGACATTTGTCTCTATTTAGATGACCCTTGTTAGGCCGCCTAAATATTGTGTTGCCGTATCCCATCAAACTTATTCTAAAACTAAATATATAGTTTATCAAATAGAAAGGAAATATACAAATGTGTTTTTTAATTATATAAACTGAGAAAATAATCAGTAATAAGCTTAAAAATTCTTAAACATTCAGTGGACGATCCAGGAGCATATCTTCAAGGGAAGATTTTTCATTTTTGTAATAAGTACATTAAAAGTTTTATTGCTTTAATAATTAAACATAATTAAAGATAAAAAATATTAAAATATAAACTAATTATTTAAGGAAATGATGAAAGACATATTAGCAATAAAAATCTTAGAGGGCGATTATCCTATCTACTCTACTAGATCAGTCTGTGATAATAAATAAATAAGCTAAGAAATGATTCAGTTAACATTCAAATCTTAAATTCTGTGCGAAATATTTTTATTTAAACAACTTAGAAACACGGAGATCGATGGTGAAAAACTCAAATATTTCATTCTGTATGATTCGTAGACAAATCTTAATGCAGAAACTGCTTATCTATTCGAAATAAATAAAAATAAAAAAAAGCATCGAGACGATATTTGGTTTCTAACAATAGCATAATTAAAACCGATATTAGAGAGCCGAATTAGAATGTGAAAGTCTACATTCACCCTTGTATCACTATGGATATAACCATTAGCGCTCTGATAAGGAGTAAACACATATCATATATGTAAATGTATAAATACCATATTGGAATATTTTTCTTGCTCAGTACGTATTTAATTTTTTCTTCATTTATTTATTCACAAAGGTAATAATGCCCGCATTCATGGGCTTTTCCTGGTTACGCAGCTAGTCTGTAACGGTATAAAAATCAAAGATGTAATCAAGATAACTTGGGGGAAGACTGTTTTAAAATTTTAGGCATTTAAGGAAGAACGTAGGTTTGAATTCCATCCCAAGCTATCCTTATTTTTTTATTTTTATTTGGGTTTTTATTTTCTTATTTGAATATTCATACACTTTATACAACATAGCTTGAATTTAGGTTATTATTTAATTTTTTAAAATTACTCTTAAATTTTGTTTACTATTAGAAAATTTCAGTACTATATTTAATTACGTAACTTTCCCAAGTATTACTTATTTTTTTCTTATGAAAATTTAAGATACTGTAGTAAAACCCCCCTAAAAGACCACCATTAATAAAGATCACTTTTTGGTGGTCGCAAAGAAGGGGTTTTACTCAGTGGCGTAGGTGGGTGTCAGCCGCCCGGGGCGAAGGAAAATTTCGCCGCCCCCTTATTTAGGTATCTCAATTTAAAAGACTAAAATTCACTTTCGTCACAGAATAAGTAATGAAAAATTCCGTGCTCATTTCAATCGGTCCGAATCGTAGGTGCGGCAAAAATATGAAATGAAATGGTTCAAATTTTTACAAGATATTATTATTATTTATTTTTGCCGCCCCCTAAAAGTGCCGCCCCTACAGCCCCTGCCGCCCCCACTAAGCTACGCCACTTTTGGTTTTACTGTATTTTATATACATTTCTTATCTGATTTGCATAATGTAAATAATTAAAATATATAAAATATTAATAAAATAAATAACAAAATAATATTTTCGATTAGCCAAAATATGTACAGTACTGTTTAATATAAATATTATCTTACATAATAAAGGACTTATGGAATAAATTCAACTTTTAATTTATTGATTTAATTAAAATGATTAATACAAAATGCATTTATCTCACATAATGACTTAAAAAATATGATTAATTTTTAAAGCTTATCCCAAAAAAATAATTAAATTTTAATTTTAGACTTCGTTCACTGAATGAAGTTTTACATTCCATACTTTAAACAAATAGGCTGTAATGTGAGCTGATTTAACAGTTTACTAAATCATAAGCTTCAAGCACGTGACACATCATATTTAGGGTCTTAAAATTATCTAATCAATATAAATCTTTGATGTAAATTAATGGCAGAACTTTTTCAAATTTATATGCCAAAGATGTTTTAATTATTGTAATTATAAAGTGATATTTTTGTCGATTATCTGTTGAAGAAATGAGTTGTTTAATCGCTTGTCTCTTTCGTTTAAAATATAATTTTGATTTATTCAGCAACTTAAAGTTTATTTACAAATCTTAAAAGAAGGTATAAATAATTTTTAATTAAAATATTTTATTTAGTTAATGAATATTCAAATTTAGACAAGGATTTGTAACTAAAGGTTTTACACAAAAGTTAAGGAGAAAAATCAAGAAAATTTTGCGAAAAAATGAAATAAAAATATCATACTTGACATGCTTAAAAAAAGAGTTGAATAACCTTTAACTTTTGCAATTTGGTAAGAATTTATGCTAAGTTGCAACCAATCGTAACATAGCTCAGGGTGACGCCGCTCAATTAAAAGGTAACGAAACTAAACGAAGAGGAATGCCTGTAGACAATGAATTTTTTATCTTTACATTGGGAAAGGAAACATAACTTATAAGATTGCTTAGATAAGACAAAGAAGGGATGACATTTTTTCTAGCAATAACAATAAATTTGACAGCAAACATTAATCGAAAAACAAAACAAAAAAAAAGTAGAATGTTTATATTTCTCATAGATACTATAATTTTATTTCTTTTTTATGGAAAATTCAGCATACTTCTTGCCGTACTTATGAATATAAAATGCATAAAATCAAAATGTATCTTAGAAAATTTTATTATAATTTGTTTTTATGCGAAGTTACAACGTTCTGCAATCTGATTCCTAAACCGCATTCATCACATGATAGAGATTTCTGAAGGAAAAATACTTCTTTGGGAAGACCTAAAACATTTTAAAATTTAAATTTATGTAACATATTCCAAGTTTGTTGGGAATTCTTCATCTAATCCACATTAAATTTATTGAGACATTAGCATAATGACCTTTTTACTTTTAAAAGTGCAAGTAAATACAATTGTATAAACACGAGTTAAGAATTTATTCATAAAAATATAAAATATGATTAATTCTGAGTAATTTCATAATCCGGATTTAATCATTTATTTTATTAATTTAAAAATTTTAGAAATTAAAAATTGTCGCATCTGTGATAAAATTTAGTAGACAAGACAAAATTAAATAAATTTGGACATTTAATCAAGTAAATTGAATTAAATGTCTTCATATCTCGAAATATAAATAATCTTCTTTTCTATTAGATTTACCAAATTGAAATTAATTAAAGACGTTTAAAGTCGTGTCAAAATTACAATAAATTGATTAATAATAAGAGAAAAAATTCAGAAGCAGCTTTAGAAAAAAGATGAGAGGAACAATTGAGGTTTTTGAATAGAAAGATGCTAAGAACCGAACATTTTATTGAAGATAAAAAAAAATTTATTGATAAAATCTATACTTACTCGACAATAAATCAACATACAAAAGCACATATATGCGTTAAAAGTAGCACAAGAGTGTGATTTTATCGATCAACTTTTCAGTTCTTTCTTCACTTCTATTCATTCAAAAAAAATCCGTTGTTCTTTATATTTAGTTTCTCATGCTTATCGCATTCTTTCGTTTATTATTCTTCCTTGGCTCCTTTTTTACTAATCTTCTCGCTTCATTCACGCTATGGAGCCCACAGCTCACGTAAATAGAGCTTAATCCGTGTACGCTACTTCAAAAAACAGAAACTTGATGCTTTAAAAAAAGACAAATAGCTTAATACCAATACTTTCAAAATTCTGGAATAAAACGTAATCTGTTTACCTTTTAAGAATATAGCACTTATGTTTTCCTTAATCGGTAAAGACTCGTAAGGAAAATTGATCTTCTTGATCTCACTTTGCACCCCCAAGAACGTGGAAGAGACAGCAAAAGAAATAAAATGATCTCATGAAATTTAATAGTTTCAACAGTCTGAATTTATATTTGTGTTTTGTTTTTTTTCCACAGACAAATTTTCTTGCAAATCTGCTACTTTGCTGTAAATTTTTCTATAGTAAAAAAATATAAGATTTGTTTAGGTATTGAGTGAAATTAAAAACAAATATCTTAAAATAATTATAAAATAATATCTAATTTTAAAACAGTGTTAAATATAGAAAGTATGGAATTATATTTTATTTAATTTTTCTCTTTCGAATTAAAGTGTCTGAATATTTATTGTCAAACCTCGATGTAACGTCTTCCTATACAGTGCCTCCCTCGTATAGCGCCAATCAATGCTCTCGAACGGATCTTCCTCATAACTATTAAATAGTAATATCCTTCGTTATCTCTGAATTATTAAATGCAAGATTTTGCATTGCAAATGACATTTATACGAAATAATGTGACTTCTAAACTCTCAAGACACAAACTGGTATAGATCTCATCACTTTAAATAATTTTTATTGTTTAAAATCTTTTAGTTTAGCGCCACAATCCATTTAATGTCAATTTAAGAGAACACATGTGGCGTTATATCGAGGTTTAACTGTGTGTATATGTGTGTAAACATATGTATACAGTAAGTTATATAAAATCTAAATAATATAAATTTGTAAAACAAAACAACAGCCAAGAAACACGAGTCGAAAATAATATAAAAATCACAAGTAAATAGGTTTATTATAATGTTATTTATTAACAAGTGGATTAACATTATAGCAAATTGTATTATTTTTGAATAAATTGACATAAAATTCAATTTTTTTTACTTAAAAATAAGTAAAAAAATACTTGTATATTTTTTAAGCTTCAATAAATCATATAGATCTACATTATTTTGTCGGATAAAAGATTTTCTTTCTAGTGTAATACATATACAAATGTAAGGAAAAAGGATTTCAACGTAAATATATTACCGGTTATACGTTTTTTATCAAAATTTTCGGTTTATAAATATGAAAAATTCATATTTTCTCTGTTAGAACAATCTAATTAACATACAAAATTAAATATAAATTGTAATATTTTAAAAATTTATGTTAATCATTGTTTTCTTTTTATATTATACTTCCTGTATATCTACGTATATCTACGTTTTTTATATTTACTTCCTATATATATACGTTTATTTAAATAAATAAACGTATATATATGTGTAGGATTTTATATACAGATACATAACAGAGTAACATTATTATTCTACGAAGTATACGTTTTGAAAATAGAATGTGACGTGTACAGTACAGTAGACTGATACATATGTATTCACTCTGTATCTTATTATTATTATTTCATTTTCGGTTGTAAAAAAGCACTTAGATACTATTAAAATACAGTAGTCTCTCGTTTTAACGGACAAGAAATCCCTATCCTAAAGGAAAAATTTAGAACATTTCTTTCAATTTTTAATAAATCAATGAGTATAAATCACTCATTATACAGTACATTACAATTAATAAAATTTTAATAAATCTGTACTTTTCAGGTCTTCAATTAATAGGTTTTTAAATCAGATTCTATTTAACGAACTTTCAGTAATAATGGAACCTCTTCCACAGGTAATCGAGGGCCTACTCTATTTTTATAAATAATTCTTCTATTGTAGAATTTTAAGAATAAATAATAAATTAATTTTTTTTAAATCTCCAAATAAATTTATAAAATTATAAATAAAAATACTTTATTTAACTTTAAATGCTAATAAAATAAAATAAAAAAGAATAGAGAAAATAATTGCCAAATTTTATTTTTTTGCAGTCAATTTTATTAAAACTTNTAAAAATTCATATAAATGAGATGTTAGAAACGACGTTGATTATTTATTTATATATTTAAATAATTGTATTGTAAAATTTTATAAAAGAATTGAATAGGATATCACCAGTAAATTATTGTCTTTGAAAAGCTTGATTTGATTTCAAAAGAGTTGCGTATAATAAAATAATATATTTAAACTAATATAAAAAACGTAAAACTTTAAATTGTTTTATTTAAATTTGATAAAATGTAAATTTTATTTTATTTATTTATTTTTAATTCAATAACCAAACAACGTTGAAATAGAAAACGATATAACGCGCTTTTTGTTAACAATGGTACAGTTGTTAAAACAGCTGCATATAGGTTAATATTAATAACAATAAATAAATACATAGTCAAACTTTCAATAACGATCACCTCTAAATGACAGCCATTTTTTATGTTTCTGTCAGTGATCGTTGTATAACGGTTTAAAAAGAATACGAGATTTTAATTAATTAAACAGACTTTTCCAATGGACAAAAATAAAGGTTACTTTGTTCTTTTCCTACACAATTTTTTAGAATTATACGTAATTTATAATGCTATAAATTAAGATAAATGTATATATAATAGATATACAGATTTGGTGATGCCTAACATTATAAATACTTATCATTGATAATAATCAATAATAATAATTTCTAGTAACCATGCTGTTGATTGATTACGCGAGAGCATCAGTAAGCATGATACTGATCTTTGATCAGTTTCTTCTATTAAATTTATAATAGAGTCGTCCATTAATTACGTATACAGTTTAAGGTATGTGAAGGATGCGAAAAGTAAGTCTTAAATCATTCTGTACGATGGAAGGAGATGGAGCATTGTCTACATAGACATTTTTAGTGGTTATAGTAGCATACGAATTTGCTTTTATAAGTCTATCTACTAGACGTGTTTTATCAGTTAAAAATATTTACAAAACTTTTAAAAGTCATTTCTTCAATGTCAGGGGATCTATGAACTATTGTACAGGCAATTAAAGAGAGGGAGATTTGTCAAGAGTACTGTACAATGTACTGTACATCATTGAAGAAAGTGACTCAAAAACTGTACACGTAATTAATGGACGTTCATATAGTCTTTAAAATTAATCAATAAATATGTCGTACTTACTGTAATTAATTCAGGAATTTATTCATTAAAAAATAATCAAAGATCATTTTTTATTACATTATTTTCAAAAACTTTCATACACAGTATCTAAACACTGTACATGAATGTTGAATATGTTTTTTCCATTTCACACTAGTTTTAAATATATATATATATATATATATATATAAAGAAAGGATAAAATTGTCTTTCGGATCTATAAATTTTATAAAATATTAAAACATCAAATTTGTCGCCTTAATAAAGAATGATTCCTGCAATATTTAATCGTGACATAGAGCTGGTAGTCATTTGCATACAATTAAAAGTACGGGCTAAACGTTTTGATTATATATCAAACATGTTCCTGCGAAAAAAATATACTTCACGTGATATATAAATAGTATATTTTCTCTCTTTTTACTTTTACTTTTTTCCTCATAATCATATTTCCGGTTAATCTTTTATCTCTCATATTTTCCGCCTGTTACAATCACTTCAACAATTTGTGTCTGTATCGCCGGATATGACGTCATTGATTTGTAAATACTTTTACCGTGTTAATTAAACTTTACTTGGAATCTGTAATATTTTATATTTTTATTATTCAATATAGAATTTATTTAAAATAAACAATTTCGCATATTTTACAGCTGAAATCTAATATATTTAGTAATTTATTTAATTAAAGTATATTTTAACAAATATATCCTCAAATTTAATTCCTGTTTATTACACAACCTATATATAACTAATAATTTTCTTTTCCTTGTTTAATAAATTTTAAAATTTAACTTATAAATCTACATTATTGTTTAAGTTTTTTTCGTTTCCTGATCGACTTCTAGCCAAGTTTGAAACAGGATATAATTATCATAATGTAATGCAGATTACAAACAGGATATTTACACTTCTTAAATGTAAAAAATCAATGTTTAATAGCTTTATTTTATTATACATTCTTTAATATAAACATTTTATTTATTCTATTTCTTTGGTTTGGAAAAAAAAGAGGAAGCATTTTACACCATTTAACTACTTAAATTGTGCGTGATTGCCATAAAATTTCTACGCATGAAAAGAATTATTAAATTATTTTTAAGATTTCAAAATATTTTTATCTTATAATTAAATTATTTAAATTGCATACGAGTATATTGAAAGAAAGACATATTTATTTATTTATTTATTAGCCTAGTCTTTTTGCCCTGTAGGCACTGAGAGAACCTTTTAATCATGCCTGTCGTGGTTAGGTCAGGTCCACAATGGGGTGGCCAGGTGGTGAACATATCACCTAGTAAAATTTTTGGGGTTTTTTGATCCTCGGATTTGATATCGAATCCCTAAAGATGTGCCATTAGAATAGTAGGCCTATGTCTGTAAGTTGTCTAAATTAATAAAATGATAATAAATGCTTTTATACAACATAAGCGCTTTAATTATGTGTTATTAATGCGATTTATACAGTTAATTTATTATGAAAAAAAATAATAATATTGGGATGTTTAACGTGATTATAGCAAATTAAATCCGTTCCTCTCTTAAATTAGTTAAGTCTATGTAACTAGAATAAAGTACAAAAATAATTATTTATATTAAGAAATATAGAATTTGAAAAATTTATAACAATGTATATAACAGAGAATACCCAAAATTATTAAACGATTATAATCCATTTAATTTGATTTAAATATATTGCATGTCACTATTGTTAATAAATATAATATTTTTAAAAAATTAGAATTTATTTTAATAATATTATTTATTTTAATAACATAAATATATTATTAAATGAGAAAGGGAAACACGCCATTTATTATTAGCTACTAAACATTGTAACAGAATTAAAGCATTCGATAATTTAATCTAAATTTTAACTTGTACGGTTTGATATTAAACGTGTGTTTAGACTGATTAAAAATTTAATCAAAATTATTTATATTAATCTTCCTAATATTAAAAGTATAAATAGGATTTATTTAAATTTGTTTGCTTAGCAGAATTTAAAAATAAAAGCTTTAAAAGAAAAGAGAGAATTGTGTGCATATATTTTAGTCTAAACAATTTCTGAATTGGAAA